TTTTGAAAATCTTTTACCATTTCCTCGGTCTGAGTTCAGAAACACTCGAAAGCGTGCCCAAATCCCTCAAACTAAGGCTCTGATACCAACTTATAACGACCCAAAATACGCCCCAAAGTTTTTGTTTTAATATTACTAAAAAATCACAACATCAACTATTATATAATAAAACCATGAATCGTATGTCTCAAAATGCCATAGTAAATGTATCAATTCAAAACTGAAGTTAATATCATATCAAAATATCTAAATAAAACTCCCATGAATAAACCGTAATTGTGGTGTGCGCCATGCCATCAACCCGAGCTCTTCCCCTTGATAGCAGAAGTACCTGAAACCAAAATTGAAACTGTAAGCACAAAGCTTAGTGAGCTCCCCTAAACTACCATATACCATACAATAACATATAAATAACTATTGGGCCTTGCCCACTACATCGGATCGAAGTCCGGAACTAATCAGGGCCTTGCTCTCTGCATCGGACCGAAGTCCGGAAACTGCATTGAACCGAAATCCGGAACTAACCAGGGCCTTGCCCTCTGCACCAGACCGAAGTTCGGAAACTGCATCGGACCAAAGTCCGAAACTGACTGGAACCTTGTCCCCTACATCGGACCGAAGTCCGGAAACTGACTGAACATAGCATAGCATAAACATATCAACTAGCATGAACACATATACTGCATACTGCATCGGACCAGAATCTGTAACATATAACACAAAACATGCTTGAATCACAAAGACATCAAGCACTCTAACTACTGCATCAAACCGAGGTCCAGAACTACTGCTAACTAAACGGGTCGGCATTGTGGCCACAGACCCGTTCCTACTGGATCATCGAGTAGCCAACTTAAATCGTGTGAACATCCTGTCTCTACTCGACGAGTTGGGCTACTGACTCGTCGAGTACCCTTTAAGAAATGAAAAATACTTTATTTAAATCGCATACCATAAATGGGGCGTTACAATAATGCATAATATGATCATTGAAGATCAATGTCAAACGATTTACACGTATGACCTAGACGACATAATCATCCCGATTGAATAGTTTACACCTAGAATGACTGAATTTTTAGCACGAGTTGTTGAAATTCATAACAATCAAACGAGTTTCAATTTTTGAGAAGATGTCATAGTTCATTTGTATGAACTCAACATAAACGAAGATTAGTTATTATTATTATTATTATTATTATTATTATTATTATTATTATTATTATTATATTTTTATTCTAGTTTTTGAACTAATGTAGTTTTTTAAATTAATTTAATGTTTCTTTATTGAATGAAAAACTAATTAAAAAATTTCTATGTTTTTTTTTGTATTTAAAAATTGTATTTTTGAATTAAATTTAATTAATTAAATAAGGTGGAGTGATGTGTTTAGTAGTAGGTATCCCATAGTTAATGGTTAGAAATATGGTGATGATGTGATACCTACCATTATAGTAGTTAGTGGTAGGTATAAGAGATGATCTTAGGTGGATTATTTATATCAGTATGTGGAAGATAGATTAAATAGTCTTTTTTTAGATATTTGGGTTGGCTTAGGTTGGCAATGAGGGTAGTCTAAATGATGTAGATATAATCTATGCCAATTAGATTTTGACATATATTGCAAGGTAGTCTATAATAATGATTTATATTGAAGACTTCAATGATGAATTAGATATATCGAGGGAGGCACCGAAGTTGTAGTTTCCACTAATAACATCGTTAAATTTTCTGCTGGACAATTTCTCTAGTCATCATCTCATGAGTATATCAAATAGATTATTGTCCAACGGTATTAGATGTTGTATTCCCTTCTTGAAGTTGAGAGCTCAAGTCTCATATATGACATTAATGAATTAATAAGTAGTTTACGAGTAAGTTAAATATGTATTTTTTTTGAAACCGATCAATATATTAATAATTAATAATTAATAATAAAAGAGTCTAGACCCCACTAGCAAGGAGCTAGAAAAAAATGAAACAAAGAAAAGATAGAATGAACAATAGAAGAAAACAAAAAAGGAAAACCAAAGATTACATGTAATATGAGCAGGTTAGATATGTTATTCGGATATAAATGTCCAAGACACAACTACAATACTGTTTCAAGACAATTACAATGGTTTGATACAAGAAAATTATTCAATGAAATAAATTAATCATTACTCAGAAACTATTCATTGTCGTTGTTTTGTACGAGTACATAGAAACTATTTATTGGTGTGTTTTGCACGGGGTATATGAATATTGATACATTGCTTTTTTTTTTTTTTTTTTTTTTTTTATATATATAAAAAAAAGCTATAAAAGTTGAAAAGAAAAATCGAATAATAATCTCCATGGAATTTTTTGAAAATACAAATGGCTTTTTAAAAAAAATATAATAATAAAATCGGATATTAACCAGTGAGTTTTATCTTATTGGCTTTATATTTCATAAAAATGTCGAATATAATCACATAAATATAAGTAGCTGATAATAAAAGAATTTCAGTGAAATACGTTACCTATTTCTCTCCATGAACCTTTTAACCCGAAGCATATTCCCCAGCTTTCTCTATGCTCAGCTTTGATCGTCAATTCTTGGGAATTTCAGTCACGATAATTTTTTTCTAGCTCGATTGTCTTCCAATCCACTGATTCATTTCTTAGATTCACTTCTTTATACCTTACAAATGAGGTTTTTTATTCAATTTCTGGCAGTGAAGCCTAGGTCTTGCCGCTAGATTATCTTCTTCCATGGCGATCAGAGGCGTACACTTCAAGTGGTACGTAATCCTATAGTAAATTTCATCATACACATTCTGCATTTTGTTGTTTTGTTTTCTGGAAAAGAGTCTGGTTAATTTGTTATAATCTCGAAAATTTCAGGTACGATGGATTCTTCCTAATAATGCTTGCGTTTAGTATGTATCCTTTTGTATCTTAAATGAAATTCGGATTGAAATTTTATTTTTATCGACGTAAAGTATGTTCGAAGGTTACATCGGAAGGAGGGATTGAGTATTGATTTCTGTTTATCCTCCGTGCGGATTCGAACATGCAATCTTCATTCCACTGGTAGTTTAGTAGACGCGAACACTTGCATTTGATCTGCTGTGCACAATAAATTTACAAATTGGTTATACTCAAGGAATGACTTAATGCTAAAAACTTTTAGATAACTGTATTCATTAGTTATGTGATAATTAATATACTCTTTCAAGGATATTTTTTTGTTTTCTTTGCGACTGTAATCAAACAGAGTTATGGTTCTATTGAGTTGGAGGCGCTACTATCTTTGTAAATTTCCATTACATCTGTGGATAGTGGTGGGTAAACTTGATATTGTTTGGTTAAATCTTGCTTAATTGCAATTCTAGAGGCTGATTAATGTCTTTGTTTATTTGGATTAGGTTGATTATAGTGCTGTCTTTGTTTTTCGCCTGTTAATGTTTGTAGATAATGGTCTTGCAGCTGGAATGGGATTGTAAGTCCTTCTAACTCTCAGCAAATAGTATTATTTCTGAATTACTCAACAATGATAACTGTAAAATTGGATACCTCAATGCTATGCATTAAGGATAACACAGCTTAAGATCAAATTTCTCAATCTCATAGTTGATATTTCAATTCTTTTTTTTTAAATGATATAGGGATTTTGGTCGAAGGCAAAGAGATGTTTGTTTTTATGGAAGAGTAGTAGTTCTATCAATTCTGTATGTAATGCTGTATCCGTTTCTTTGGGCATGGAGTGTTACAGGATCTATATGGTTCAATTATGCACACGCCTGTGTATGTGCGTTGTTTTTGTTTCTTGTAATTAACCAATAGGATCCATGTTGTTGTAAATAAAACATTAAATTTTTTTTTTGTCCTAAATTCTTGCAGTTACCTGAAAAGAATCAGAAATGGGGGTTTCTTGTGTGGTTGATTTTCAGCTACTGTGGACTTGTCTGTCTTGCTGTCTATTCAGTAAATAAGGTATAATCTAAGCTCCTATTGTTTGTGATTCATTTCATTTTAATAAAACTTCCATTTTTTTTTTTAAATAAATTCTCCGACCTCTTGTGCAGTGGTTAACAAGAAGAAAAGCTCATTTGGAACGTGCTCAACAAGGGATCCCTATATCCGGTATTTCAGAATATGGGGTAACCTCTGTTGTTCTTTTTATATTGTCTTGTTAATATCTATATAATTGATTGTGCTAGATTCATTTCTTGGTATGTTATTGTCTGAATAAATTAGTAAGATATTTATCGAATATGGGGTAACCTCTGTTGTTCTTTTTATATTGTCTTGTTAATATCTATATAATTGATTGTGCTAGATTCATTTCTTGGTATGTTCTTGTCTGAATAAATTAGTAAGATATTTATCCTACTTTTTTTTTTTGACTTGGTCAACCCTTAAATACCAAATGTATTATCTTTCCAGGTGTTGGTGGACATGATTCGTCTACCAGATTGGGTATTTGAAAGTGCTGCTCAAGAAATGAGAGTCATGGAACAAGATGCCACTCCACATCATCCAGGAATTTACTTATCTGATGCTCAGGTTACAAATAATCTACAACAGAAAACCTTATTTTAATACCATCATCTTATTTGGACTGCAATCATGTATCAAATAAATTTGGAAGAAATAGCAACGTGCCTTCATTGTTTTGTTTATTAACGCATCTTACTTTCAAATTTCAATAAATGAAAGTACATTCCTATTTCTTGAATTATCTCTTAATTTGTTTTGTCTTTTAGAGTGGCTCACCAAATATCCATATCTCCTTTTGTCATGTAGAGGCAAGCAGTGGAGATATTAATTCAGGAACTTCCACTATTCTCTTTGAAAGCTGTTCCAACTGACTGCAGCGATTGTCCAATTTGTTTGGAAGAGTTCCATGTTGGGGATGAGGTAGCAATCCTTCTTATATTTGGGATTAAATGCTTAGAATAGCAACACACTTTCATTGATTTGTTTATTACATAATCCTACTTTTAATTTCTTTCTATTACAATCTTATACTTTGACACTTCTTTCCAATTCAATCTCATCCAAATACAAATCAATTTCATTGTTACAAATCCAATATAAAGAAATGAAAGTAGGATGCTATTTTTGAATTTATCCTTACATTTTTTAACATGAATTTCAGGTTCGTGGGTTGCCTTGTGCTCACAACTTCCATATGGCATGCATTGATAAATGGCTTAGATTAAACATAAAATGCCCTCGATGTCGGTGTTCAGTTTTTCCCAACCTTGAACTTCATGATCTGCCAAATATACCACCCGATCCCAACCGTTCATCAACCTTATCAACAACTTATCATTCACAAAGTCAACCAATCAGCCAAAGCTACTTTTCCAGAATGCAGAGCTTTCTCATGCCAATCCGTTCCGGAAATGCAACATCCTCCTCCACCACCACCAATTCCGGCCCTAGAATCAGTAATGATTCCGATGTTGCTTTGGACATCCATTGTGGGAATGAAGCATCCGAAACCAATTCCAACCCCGACACCAATTCCGACCCTGGAATCAGTAATGATTCCGATGTTGCTTTGGAAATCGCTGAAAATGGAGGCCAATCATCCGAGAGGCATGATGTAGACGCTAGTAAAGAGCGTGTACAATGACCTTTTTGGGTAGTCCTTATAGAGTTGCAATTTTAGAAACAATTTTTTCAAAGGTATGTTTTTAATTACTAAATAACCTGACAGTTAAACTTAATAAATTTAGCTATAAAGGAAACATGTCCAACAATTTAAAAAGTATACATCGTTAATTTAATCATAGTTTTTTTAAATCAAAGACATAGTCTTTCCTTGGCTTTCTCTATTAAGTCATTCTTTCAGTGCTCTAACATCTTAATTCTCTCAAGATTTTGCATATGTTTGTTCACATCTTCTGTTCTGGGAGTCCCACAAATGATCTTCACTTTTTCAAATATCAAATCTTCACACTTTAAAGCTGCAGATTTACAGGCCCTGATATTTCCTTATTCAGGAAAACCATAATAAGAAATGTTACTATTAATAATACATCATGAGACAACTGAAGTTCATCAAATGATTAAATGACTTACCACTAAGATCCAATAGATTGAAAACCACAGGGCAATTTCCTACACTCCTGACCATTGTAATTGCAGCCAAAACTTTTTGATGTTCGTCCCTTGAAGCTCTTATAATGCACACTTTCGTGATCGGATTCACATATTTAACTGCATACAAATACACGAATTTAAACAATATATAAAATGTTACTTTTTTGTTAAATAACAAGTTGTTATGCATTGAACTAAGTTTGATAACAAGGGGACAAAAGACGTGAATACCCACCCTCCTCATACCTTGTAATGATCCTAGCGAAGAGGCAAGACCACACTCGCCAAAGTTTAGGAGAATGCTGTCTTTGATTGCTTTTGAAACATTATGTTGGCTAAGAATGATGGGATCGTCTTTTGAAATATCTTTATTTGGATCCACAGACACCTCCATCACCATGTACCTATTTTTAAATCCCACCATGATGATTTCTCAGCTTCTTAAACCTACAAAATCAAACCAAGTTTAACCACAACTTCAGTTCAAAGTTCAAACTAACAGTGGTTTTTTTGCAACCACACAGAAAACGAATAGCTACATACAGAGTCGTAAATGTTCAGAAAGGATTTGCTTCATTCATCCAAGAATAGATGATGCATAGCTAAAATATTGAACTCGTTAAATTGTTTGTAAACAAATGAACAAATCAGCATAGAGGCATAACTACAAACAGTTGGCATGCTTTGCTTGGGTATGATAAATTCAGAAACAGGAAACATAGATGCAACAGCAAATAGCAAAATCTGAAATTGATTTGTGCTATAAATTGATAATTGGCAACATATGAAATTCATTTGTGCTACATTGTGGCATAAAACTCGTTCATTAGCATATGTCGTGCATACATAAAACATAAAACTTGAGATGAATTAGTTACGGTTTATGGATTAACAAATCAACAGATGACATACATGCATAAATGTCAAGTTAATGTCAAAACTAAAAAAATATTAAACTATTAATCAAGTTAATGTAAACATCATTTATCCAAACAAAAAAGGACATTTAGAATGAAATAAATCTCACCAGAAACATTCTCCTGTAACACCTGCCCTAAAGTTTAATGAACTGTCAACTTTTTATCAACATATTTAGCCTTTTTTTTTTACCTGAATTGGCACTTTTACTTACAATCCAATTCCCGTAGATAATCCCATCAAACACTATTCACTTTCTGTTACTTTACCTACTCTAATCTGTTCTTAAGGGTCAAACCCACAGGTTTGCTCGTGGCAATCTTTATGATGGTCTAGAACAGTCTAATTTCAGTAAGTAAGCTCAAACACTCATCAAAGCAAGAGGATTACTCATGCGTCTTGAAAGACTAGAACAAATCTATAAATACAGACAACACAGATGCAAAAAATAGTAGAATTGCAACGAACTCACTTAGGAATTTTCTCGAACACCTAATATGCAATGCAACGTCTTTATGGTGAAAGGATACCTTGTTACCTGGTTGAATCACCGATACTAAAGTAATGAAAATCACGATTTGCTAATGTCAAAACTCAAAAAGAATCAATCCAAAAGAACAAAAATGAAATCGCAGTAGCAATTAAAAAAAATGACAGAGAAGAAGGAGAAATCGATGATACCTTGTACCTGGTGATGGTGAGAAGGTGAAATCGCATATGCTGGAAAAATCGGAGGCAGTCGTTGAGATGATTGAGAAGTCGCAAAACGTTATTTGCTGGAGATACAAGGGCAAGAGTAAACTCTCGTCTTTTTATTCTTTTCCCTCCCAATCAATATCATGTCATAAAGGGGTTATTCTGTAAGACACAAAACTATAGGGGTCTATTGTGATAAAAATGATCAAAGAGGAGCCCACGGTGGCATGTTGAATTTGTGACAGTGATCAGTTTTGTATATTATCCGGCGATTTTATCCACACACCCCCGACTCCCGCTCTCCACAAACCCTAGAAATCCTTCTCGCAGAAGCAGTAGAAAAAGAAGAAGAGAAGACAGTGCACAAGTGCGAGGAAGATATGGCGGTTGCGAATGCTTATTGGGCTACAGGAACTTTAGTCCCAAATATCCCCCAAATCAGACCTCCTATATCTTCTTGTTTCGATTTGTCTGTTGCCAAGAAATCTTTCAGTCTGAGGTTCGTATCGGGTTCGTGTAATGCTCTAAAATCTTCGCCAATTCATACCCGCTGCCATTGTAGCAGCACCAGCACTAATTCCGACCATGCCAGTGCCACCTCTTCGGATTGGGATTGGAATACGTGGACTCGTCATTTCTCCGAAATCGAGCTTGCTGAGCGTTCTGTTTCTCTTCTTCAGGTGTGTTGATATGTATACTTTTGCTGTTGGACCTGTTGGTTATCCGCCCTATGCCCGTTACACTTGCTTATCGTTGTTGAATTGTCAATGTTTTGTTGTATGTGGATTTGATTAACTGAAGATTAAAACTATCATGTGATGATATGATGTTAGTTCTGAAAGGTCATCTCATATGGCTAAGGATTTGGAAATTATACTTTCTAGTTCATTGTCTGTTAAGTCCCATGCTCATTTATTAGTTCCCTCTGATAGTCCTATGATTTGGGTGTTTCTGTGTGATATAGAAGTATATGTTAGTTTTAGCTTTTCTGGAGCTTGCACTTGACCATGGTAGCAAACTACATGTCATATAATCTTTTGGTTCTTTTCTATGTCTGTTTCAAGTTAGCATTTTTCTTTCATTAAGTATGGTTAAAATCAAAACTTAAAAGGATTAATGATTTCAATTATTGGTATGTTACAAGAAAATGCATGGTCAAAAGTTTGGTGTTTTACTCATTCATCTATTGTAACAAGTTTCCATGGTTTGCAGTTTCAACTTGAAGAAGCAATAGAGAAAGAAGATTTCCAGGAAGCTTCAAAGTTGAAAAGAGCTATAGCAGAAGCAACATCCAAGGACAGTGTTGCAGAAATTATGTCAGAGTTGAAGGTCAGACCAGAGTCAAATGAGTAAGAAAGTTATGAATATGTACAAATCTCCAGTCCTCATTGGTCTATTTCTTTGCAGACTGCAATCCATGAAGAACGTTATCATGATGCTTCAAAGCTGTGTAAAAATACAGGAAGTGGTCTGGTAATATTATTCAGCTCATCTTAATTAAGGCCACTAATTAAGATTAGTTTATATCATAAATTCATAATTAATAAATGATCACTAACACTTTCAGGTTGGTTGGTGGGTTGGCTACTCCAAAGATTCTGATGACCCATTTGGAAGACTTATACGCATAACACCAGGTGTAGGCAGATTTATTGGCAGAAGTTATAACCCAAGGTATAATTATAAGAATGTAAAAAAAACACAGTATTTTTCTGCATTCAATTCACATAATATCTACAAACTACAGTGGTGATGTTTGTATATTATAGACAATTGGTGTCTGCATCTCCTGGAACTCCACTTTTTGAAATTTTTGTGGTCAAAGAGACTGATGAAACATACACCATGCAGGTAGGTAACTTACAAATCACAACATTATGTTGATTTATCATTTCTTATATAATTATTATTCTTTTCCTTTTCATAGGTAGTGTTCATGCAACGAGCCAAATCAAACAACTCAAAAGCCACAGCTCCATCCATGAAAGGGACATCAATGGCAGATATCGAGAATTCGTCTGTAATTGATGTGAAAGTGAATGAAGAAAAGCCTGGTAAAAATGATGGAAAAAGTATAAATTTTGAGGGAGACACTGAGGAAGGGATAAGAAGCGTGTTAAATTTTCTTAAAGACAAAATTCCCGAATTAAAAATAAAAGATTTAAAGGTTATGAAAGTGGATGTTGAAGAAGTAATGGCCGATGATGATGATACTGTGAATCAGTTATTACAAGAAGATGATGAGAAAACAACTTCAGATGATGAAGAAGAAGACTCTGAAGTGGAATCTGAAACAAGTGATCTTGATCTTGATGTGGGAACAAACAATGATGCAGCAGAAGATGGTAAAAGTTTAGACATGAAACTTTTTGTTGGTGGGGTTTTACACAACAGAGAGGACACGCCCTCGAAAGATGAATTTGTGCGTGTTCCTGCTGAAATAGAAGAAATGGAAAAAGACTCATTTGTCCTTCATGTCCCTGTTAAAAGTCATGATTCGGATAGTGAAGAAAGCATTGCATCTAAAGTCAAAATGGCTGCTATCGCCAGCCAAGGTGTTTCTGAACTTATGCCTCCTGATGTGGCCAAGGCTTTATGGAGTTCTGATAAAGTTTCTAGAAAGGTAAGCCATGAGACTAAATGACTGTTTTACCCTTGCATTTCAAAGAAAAGTAGATTGATATAAAAGTGTAGGTGTCAAGGGATGTTCGTGAAATTGTCAAGTTTGCGGTTAATCAAGCAAAGAAGCGTGAAAAATTGTCAGAGTATACAAATTTCAGTCGGATCACCACATCCAGAGGGGATCTGGATCCATTTGATGGTGAGTCAGAGTCTCTTTAGACCTTTCAAAAAAGTCTAAAATACCCTTTTGTTAAAACGTATTCGTTTTTTTATATAAATAGGTCTTTATGTTGGTGCATTTGGGCCATATGGGACGGAGGTTGTACAATTAAGGCGTAAATATGGAAACTGGAGTGGTGCAAATGATGTTGAGTTTTTTGAATATGTTGAAGCTGTGAAGGTGACAGGCGATTTAAATGTTCCTGCTGGCCAGGTTAGTAATTTTTATATTATTCTTGACAACTTTTATATATATATATATATATATATATATATATATATATATATATATATATATATATATATATATATTATTTTGTAATTGACTGTTTTGACCTTAGGTGACATTCCGTGCCAAACTTGCAAAAGGGAGCCACTTTTCAAACCGTGGGATGTATCCAGATGAATTGGGAGTGGTAATTGTGAATATAAATTTCTGGATTTTAACCACACTAAGTCAAAAAAAAAAAAAGTGAAGTTAATTGATTCAAATGGTGTCTTGTTTTTAGGTTGGAAGCTACAAAGGTCAAGGTAGGATTGCTGAAGTTGGATTTACAAATCCAAGATGGGTAGAGGGGGAACTTCTCCAACTCAACGGCAAGGTGAATATCATATTTTCTGACACTAAACATGAAATAAAATAAGTGAAAAAGTTGAATTTCATTTTCTCCCAAAAAATATAAATACATTACATAAATCAAGAATTTTATTACTTTTTGTCAGGGTATGGGACCATATGTCAAAGGTGCTGACCTTGGTTTCCTCTATGTTGTCCCCGAGCAAAGTTTTCTTGTGCTGTTTAACCGTTTGAGACTTCCAGAATAAACACCGTGGCCTCATGCACACCCAATCAACAATGTAGCTACTAAAACTTCTTTTTCTTCTCTAGTCATACGTGTTAGTATATCTTAAAAAAAACGCATATATATATATATATATATTTTTCATATAGAGAATACAATTGTTGGCCTGAAATTTACTTTAGATATTTTGACATCTGTGTTTGATTGAGATTGTTGGTGGGATTTCTGGGTCCCACGAATTTTATTTAACAATGAGTGTTGCATTATTAGAGGTATTTTTTTTTTCTTTCTAAAGTTGATATGATCATGCACAACTGTAATTTCTATGGAAAAATAGCTTTAAGGAAAGGGAGAGATGGTGGGGTCTTTGGTGTGTTTTTTTATTGCCTAATTCAGCATGCTGATTTGTATCCAATTAGTGATTATTTTACTACCATAGGTGGGGTGTATTCTTACTTGATTTGCTTTTGGAGTTAAAAGCAATAAAGATAAAGGGGCAGGTTTTGTTGAACAAATGGATCTTTATGATAAAGTAGAATAAGTGGATGCTGATGCTATCTTTTTTACTTGACACAACAAAAACAAATTCTGGGAATTTTGTTTTTCAATAATAATTATAACAATAATAAGAGTAAGTGATTATAATACAATAGTACATACCTAGTTACGAAACAGAATAAGGGGATGCTTTTGATTTGATGCTATCTTTTCATAAGTTTTTTGTTGCTTTTTTACTGGCTTAAATTTTTTAAAATCAAATTATTTTGGAGGGAACAATAGCAATAATCTTTGTGTATATGTGTAATGTATAAAGGGTTTGTGAACCCACACTTTTTGGATAAAGTGTTATCAGTAATTCTGAGATTTGTTGTAGTTGTTAATGGAGTGCAATTTAAATTGATGTCTTGTCTATTAACCATGATTAAAGGAGCTTGTGAGATTTGTTGTAGTTGGTATTTAATTAATAATCGCAAAATTTTGTTAATGGGATGTTTAGGCGTATGTTTGGAAACGATTATATGATATTAAATAATCTGTTGTATTAAAGCAGTCTGAATGGGATAAGTGCTAAGATGTTCTTGTGCTGTTTGAACTAATAATAACGAAATAACCATATATTTGATTGTTAAACTAATAACTAAAATGGTTTGAAAACACTTTTCTTAGAAAAAAAAAAAAAAAGATGTCTTGTGAAGTGAGCAAAAGTTAAAATAATTATTCAGTCTAACTTTGATTTACTATTTTGTAACCAATTTTATTGCTGTGAACTTCTGATTTTGAAAAGTTAAAATAATTACTACAGGTCCAACTTTCAGTTAACTATAAACAAAGCGGTTTTCAAAACATTTGCGTGTGACTGTGTTTGGTACAAAACTTTTAGCTTTTAAGACTAAACTTCATCTGCAGCATGAAAATTATTTTTAATTTTAAACAAAAAAACTTTGAATCAAAAAACTGTTTCAATTGGTTTTTGGAAGAGTTTTTATTACTGTAGCATAATAAAATTTGGCAATTTTACCTATTTGGTCATTCAAGTAACTTTTTTTGCACAATAAACCATTCAATTTAAAACTTATTTATCAATTGCACCATTATATTACCTGATACATGTACATCCAGTTATTTTTATAATGTGACGTTTTAAATTAGATTTCTTTATATCTTTTAAGGGCACCTAACTTTTGTATCAATCAACAACAAACACTAACTTAAGACCTTTAACTCTAGTGAGAGAAGGGTGGTCGTGAACAAGATGCCAAGGGTTATAGGTGATCGTATTGAAGCGATGTTTGAAGATAAACAACCTAGCTTAGGGCTAGGAAGATGCCATTATGATTTTTTGTTTTTATCTTTATGAACCTAGGTTTGATTTTGGATGTGATCCCGATTTCTTACCTAATCACAATTCAAATTTGATGAAATTTGTTGGTTTATGTCCGCAAACCCACATTACCATCTTAGAGCTTTCTTCCAACTTCGACTTTTCATGGCTTTGCACCCATGAATCCTTCTAATTACGACAAAGGTCGCTCAACACCTTCAAAGAGGAAGTCTCCTAAAATACATATGCACAAACAATTATGAAAATCCAGATTTTATACAAACACCAAAAACCCAAAAGTTCATGATTGGCGACGATCACTCTAGGGCCAACGACAACTAAAGGATGAGAGAGGCTAGAGGAGGGGAGGGGCAGAAAGGATCAGTGAAGATGAAGAAAAAGAGGGAATCGGATGCAAACGGGATGATAGGACAACTAACTCAAAATAAATAATTACCTATATTGACAACTTACTTCAATATCACATGTGACAGCTAAGAATAGTTACTTAGAAACCGATAAATATTGGAGTGGTTCCCATATATGAAAGGTACAATGATACTTTAGGGACTAATTGCAAAAAAAAAAAAAAAAAAAAACAAAAAAACTTGAGTGTAAATATATGAATTGACCAAACTTTATTGTGCTACAGTAACCTTTTCCTTTTTTTGGAAAGTTGTTTTCAAAATAGTAAGGATATGTTTTACACAAGATTCGTAACATTCGATTCCAGGCATGTTTTTGTTGGTCCTTTAAGTTTATAATTTTTTGCGAAAATGGTCCCTCATACGATGGGCGTACATTTGGTCCCTTAGCGTACATGCACGTTTAGAGTCAGGGAACTTAACCACGTATGATGGGCATACCTGGGGCATATGACATCCAAGACAAAACCCAAATTTTTAGGGCATGTGCCCTATTTAAGCATCATTATGGCCTTTGGACACTTACCCTCATCAACCTCCACTATTTATTACGTCCCATTGAAGCCCTAGTTCATCCTTTGAGTGTTCTTGAGCTTTGAAGTGATTTTTGTGGCATTTTGGTGTGTTTTCAAGAAGAAGGAACTTGGAGACCAAGCATTTGTAGAGGTTGAGTTTCTAGATCTAGAGTCTTCATCAACTTAGGGAGCTTTTGAAGGTATAAAGCTCTTACCTTGATGATTCATTTGGATAGTGGCTGGTTTATGAGCTTTACTTGGTCCCATGGCTTCTCTTTGTGAGTTTAGACAACTCCAAAAGTTAGAGGTGTTAGATCTCCGTCCCTTTGTTGTTATAGATGCATAAAAATGTCATCTTGATGGTGTTATGAGTCCATGTATGAATTTGAGTCCTTAATATGTGCCTTGATGGACAAAAATGGATGTTGGGTTCCATTACGACATGCTAAGGGTTAAAGTTGTCAACTCTATGTATTAGAACCTTATAATGGAGAAGATCTGAAAGTTGGACCGAATGGCTTAAGGGATTAAACACTAAATGACTTAAGTTGGTAAGCAGTCCAATACGTTGGGTGTACCAAAAGGTACGTTATGCATAGTGGTGGTCGAAGTACGCCAAGTGTACATTGTGTACGTGGTGTATACGCCTCTTAGTGGGCTTTTGGTTATCGGTTGGGCTTTGGACATTTGGGCCTTAGTTGTAACACTCCAAATAAACCATTCTAACCCCTTGAAATGATTTAATTTGGCAAAAATGGTCCCTTTGGTACGTTAGGCGTACCTAAGTGTACGCTTAGCGTATTATGGAGGAAGGATCGCGAAGGAATATTGAGTACGCGGGGCGTACATGTAGGTATGCGGGGCATACGCGATAGAGGACCGAAACCCTAAAACCCGGACGTGAGACCTCTTTATTATCCTTAAGCCACTTGGACCAAACCCTAATCAGCCTCTGGAGTCTTATTTCGTCCCTTTACCTTAGTTTTCCTTTGAGAGTGTGATTTTGGAGCATACAAGTGTGTTAGTGGCCATTTTGGAGCTTATTCAAGAAGAAGAAGTTAGTGAGCAAGCTTGTGTGGCATTGGGCTTCAAGAACCTGCATCTAGTTCATCTTGAGGATCTTCTGGAGGCATAAAGTCTTAATCTTGCCATCATTAGATTGAGTTAGGGTTTTCTATATTGTCCTTTTTTTGTTCTTAGATCTTCTATTGGGAGTTGAGCAACTCCAGAGACTAAGATGGTTATATCTGAGCTTTGTGAGCATGCTAGATGCATAAAGGTGTTAGATTGAAGGTTATCTAGACTCCATGCATGAGTTTGAAGCTTTATATGAAGTCCTAATGTGAAGAATGAAGTTTTGAAGTCTCTTATAACATTTAAGGGCATAAAGTTGCCAACTTTATGCCCTAGGACGTCTTAATGAGCTTAGATCTATTATTAGACGTTAGAATATCAAGTATTAGGCACTTAATGGAAGTGGTGCTTAATCTGCTTGTACACTGGCGTACATAACGCGTACAACCAAGGACTCAATACGTTGAGCATACTTAAGTGGTACGCTTGGCGTACGCACCCCAGTTGGTTTTGGGCTTCGTGTGAGCTTGTAACCCCTTTTGGGCCTGGTCATATTTTGGGTTAGTGGTACGATTAATCCGTTATGGGCCATGGTTGTCTTGGTTGGGCCTTATTGGGTCATGTGGCCCATTAATAGATTTGGACATGAACTTTGAGCCCATTAGAAAAGGAAAGACTCTTGGGCTATTATGAAAGGACTTGGGCTTAGGTAATTGGGTTGTGTAATTAGATTGTATTTAATCCTAATATTGGGTTAATGGTATTATTGTTCTGCACGGGTGGTTTCAGACTGTTAGGTGAGCAACTTTCGTGTTCAGCAGACTAAGGTGAGTCTCCTCACCATACCAATGGGTCGAAGGCACCAAGGCCGACCCATTATGTGTTATGTGGAATGCTAGTTGATTTCGTGATATGTATTATGCTAGTTGTCCTTCTGATACTCGCATGGAAGACCTCGGGGGGGTTCCCGTGGTAGTGGACTAAGACCATGCGGGGGTTCCCATGACATTCAGTGTAAGACCTTGGAGGGCTTCCATGGCATCCTAGGAGGTTTGCATGTTTAGCTTATATGACATTTCTATGGTTAGCTAAGACCATGTGAGGGTTCCCATGGCAATTAGGGAAGACCATGTGGGAGTCCCATGGTAGGTAGTTAAGACCATGTGGGGGTTCCCATGATAGGTAGTTAAGACCATGTGGGGGTTCCCATGACAGTGGATTAAGACCACGTAGGGGTTCCAGTGGCATCCGATGTAAGACATTGGAGGGTTTCCATGACATCCTTATATGTTTATATGCATGACTTATATATCTTATATGACTGATATGGTTTATGTGATTATGTGGATGCTGTGGGGTATGTTATGGGGAACTCACTAAGCGTTAGCTTACAATTTGTTAGTTGTTTTAGGTACTTCAGGATCTAAGGGCAAGAGCCTGGTGTGATGGCGTGACATGCACTCTCTGGCGTTTTTATTGGGGCACTCTGATATTATGAATAAATCGTCTGATGTTATGGATTTTGAAAACAAATGTGATTGGAATTTTATATTTTATGGAAATTATTTTGGTACTTATATATGAAATTTTTTATTGGAAATTTGGGATGTTACATAGTTAGGTGTTGGGCCTAGGTCTGTTTAAGTAGGTGGGGCTCAGGATTTATTGGTGGACCTTAAGTTGCTTGAGTTGGGCCTTTTGGGCCTTGGGGTCCATTATTATGTTGTTGGGCCAAGTTTGGTTAGCCCATTATGGGAAGGGTAAAATGGACTTTTATCTTAGGGTGTCTAGATTTGGGATTTGGGCCTACAATTATGGTTTATAACCTATTTCTGACTAGGGTGATTTGTTTGTGTTCAGTGTGCGATCTTCCAGTTCGGTAGCCAAGCATTTAGTTATTTATTAGCGGACTATGGTGGGTTTTCTCTCAATGTATTAATAGGTTGAAGACACCAAGGCCGACCTATTCTCTGTAATATAGGATGCTAGCTATATATGTAATACTAGTTTATAATCTGTGGGAACCACAATTATAAAATTAATTAAACTTTAATAGTAAAAAAACTCAAAATTATTAATCATTTACTTTAAATAAATTATTAATTAAGAGATTTTTTTAGTTGTATAAGATTATAATCATTGATTCAAATAAATATGTAAAATTATATCACTTTATAATTTGTATTAATTTTATTTTAATTTTAATTTTAATGTTATTAATTTAATTTAATTAGAGTAGAAAACTTAAAATGCGAAATTTGAAATGAATAATTAATAGGTTGACAAGTGACATGCATTAATTAGGAAACATAATAGGGTGACACATGACAAAAGAAAAATAAAATATGCATTAATTATGAAGCCTAATATGGTGATACATATCAAAAAGAGAATAAAACTATTCTTTTATTAGAATAGGGAGATGTATATCGAAGACCAGGATTTGGCCCATGACAACTGTATGAAAGACTAGGATATGACCCTTGGTATCTGTATGAGAGACCAGAGTCTGGCCCCTGACAACAGTATGGAAGACTGGGATTTGATCATTGACAAAAAATTACTTGTAAGACTATGGTTTGGCCCATAACACTAACTTATTTATGTTTGGTATGTGGTAGTTTAGGGAAACTCACTAAGCTTTTGCTTATAGTTTATATCTGTGGTTTCAAGTACTTCCAGTACTAAAGGGAAGGGTCCGACGTGATGACACAACATTCTCTCTTCACTATTTTCCATACTTTTTGATATTGTACTATGATGATTTGACTTTGTTATTATGTGATGGTTTTGGAACAATGTGATGATTGTAACTCTTATTTTATAATGAAAAATTTTATCATAGTTTTTGGATCGTTACAAGATTCTCAAGAGGTTTTGAAAATTTTTACCTTTTAAATAAATCATTTGATATCATAAACTTTTAGCTTTTATTTCAAAACAAAAAACTATGACTCCAAAAACTACTTCAACTAGCTTCAAAGCGTTTTTAGCCTTTTAAGAGGAGTTTGACAAAACTAGCTGGTAGTAGGAAGTTAGAAGCTAGTAGTTGAAGTTGTAATTTTTATTTGTGATATAAGTATTTGATAAAAATAACTGAAAGCTTATGAAATGTGTAAAATTACATAAAAAAATAATTGTTTAAAAAAGATAATATATAAATATATTTTAAAGGGCAATTCTAGAAATTGATTTAAAAAACTCAATAATTTTTTTTAAACGTTACATGAAGCATTTTTTAGATTTCGAGCTTTTTAAAAACTAAAAGTTAAAAGCTTTTACTCCCAGATAACATTTTTTTTTGCTTAAATCGAAGTTTTATTTATTTATTTATTTATGTTAAGGTAAACGCTAGACGCTCCCAACAATCTATACCAAACACGCCAAAGTGTTTGGCAAAAATAACAAATAATTTTTCTTAGTTAAAAACTTATAAAAACACTATATAAAACTATATGTAAAATTATAATAATTAGATAATAGTTTTAAATTGTAATGTCATTAAAATGGTGTCATCTTGTTTTGGTGGGGTTGTGTGTGTTTAGAATATGGTTGGTTGAAGTAATGGAAAAGAATAAAAGGGTAAGTGTTGTTTGTGTGGGCTTTATAACTCAGGATGGCAAAGCTTACTCTCAAAGTAAATGTAGGAACACTTTGTAGTACGTCTATGAAAGTAATGTGGCCCTCCTTATCAATCATAAAGTACAAAATCATATGAACTCAAATATCAACCATATAATGATCGATGACATATGTTGATAATTTTAGTTGTAAGTTTTTCATATATTTTATTTGTTTTTACTTTTAGCTTTTAAAAACCGTTTATATTGATTAGCTATTTGAAATATTCTTACGTAAAACCAAAATAGAATAATCCTATATTTGAATTATTGTCATAAATATATCGGATGATGAAGTTGAGGATGATTGTGACACGAATATTTTGATAAAAATCGAAGTTTTTGGTTCCATGTGATATTATTATGGGATTTTCTAATATGTGCTCTAAGAGCACATATAAGAAGTATTAATTAATCACAATTATTATCATAATTAAATGTGAAATGCATTAATTATAGAGATTATTAATGAAATTTATATTTAATTATGGTAATATTTGATATAATTAATGTGTTTAACATTTAATTATCGTAATAATTATGATTAATTAATACTTTTTATATGTAAATTGTAATGTTTGATTAAACATAAGGATATCTATAATCATTGATTTTTTATAATTTTTTTTTTCATATTATATTTTCAATAAATTTAATTAACATATATTTATTATCATGAATCTTGTCAATATGTGTAAGGTCATGAATGATATGGTGTTCAACAGAATTTAGCTTCTGACACGGTGGACATCAAAACATCTTACATTTGGATTAGGAATAGCACCACATTACATAACTTAGATATGATATCTTGGATTCTTGGTGTTCTTCCCCACCTCTCCATCTCTGGAAATCTTTCTATATTCTTGCTAGTTTACAACACATATTCCTCGTTCTAGAAAACAAACCTTGCCAATTGTTGATAATTTTAAAACGATATTCAAAATTAACTAATCTATTTTTATCTTTATGATTTTTTTTATAAAATATTTTCATTCGTTTTGTTATTTTTATATACATACCATATTTTCAAAAATGAAATATTACTTAACAATAGCACCTAATAAGATAAATATATTAGCATATGGGAGTGAAACTAAATAAGTAGACTTAAATAAATAGTTCGTATTCAATATTGTCATAAAATACAAAGATAACTTGTTTTTTTGAAGGGAAGGCCACCAATGAAGCTTTTAGAATTCAAATCCTCGAACAATCTACTTTGTAGTGGTTAAATTTCAAATGACAAAGTAGTTAAAATAAAAGATAAAACTGTTATGTATATAAGGCTTGGCAAGGGAGAAGGTTGAAGTGTACGTAGATTTCCATCGTTATACAGTATATTTCAATCATTTTCTAGAATCTACAAAATATTTTTTTGTTCATTTCAAACGATAAAATTTTTACATAATGAATCTATAATATGTGTTGATTTTTATAAGATGCTACGTTATCTAAAAAAAGGATCAAGTTATATCATACTATTATTCCTTTTTTGAAAAATTGAACTAAAATGGATTTTTATTATACTTATTTGGAAAAATTATCAGAAAAATACCAATATTTTTGGAAAATTTTATTTTAGTCTCAATTATTTTTTGAATATAAAAGTTCGGATTATTTCATTTTGGCTCAAATTAATAATTTTTTTCTTTTAATAGTAAATGATATATTATCGTGTAAAATCAAATAACCAGATACTTTCTGTTTAAAAAAATAATAAAAATAATAAAACTAAAATTAAACTTTTCAAAATATTCAAACTTTTCCGACAATTTCCCTACTTATTTTCCCTTTTACATCATATTTTGTTCCGGCCAAAAGTACAAATAACATGAGACATTGTGGAATCACGTATGTTTAAGAATTTAACTTAAATCTTTGTGGAATTCTTTAAATTTTACGTAAGTTTTAACATTCTTAAAATCAAATCAGATTCATTTTCTTAAATATAACCTTGATAAATATTTTATACATATCATGAAATTCATGGTTGAAATCGAACATTAATCCTAATAAGAAAATAGTCAATCAAACTGTTGACTCTGGTCGTCCCAAATAATACAAAATTGAAACTAAAAAAAATTATATGCCAATAATTAAATTATTATTTTTTATATTTGGTCTTTGAAAAAAGTTTTTTCCTTTTTCCCTCTCTCTCCATCTCCTCTGGCCCTTTTTAAACTTGGAACTTCCTATCAATTCTCTTCCCAGTTCCCACCACCGGAAAATTACCATGAACAACAACAAAGACGCCAAGCGCCACCACGGTGCCACCACTAACAACCAATCAATATTATCCCACACCGATTCCCAGGACGACGTGTTCCACTCCACTAGCGGTTCGCCTCTTCAACAGGATGAATTCCCATCTTCTCCTTCTAAAGCTATCGTCGCTTTCGACAAGCCTCCGGCAAAAGCTCAGTTGTCTACAGTAGCTTATAACCGATCTGCGAGGGAGGATTCAGTGACTGGTGTCAGGAAGATAGGCCCCGGCGGTGTTGAAGAGGGAAACGGTGGTGCAGGAAGAGAGAGAAGGTCTAGCGTGGGTACGCTGGGATTGAGGAGGTCGAAAAGAGAAGTAATGGTTGACAGATCAGCATTAGGGTTTAGGGTATTGGAGTTGATATTAAGCCTGATTGCGTTCTCTGTGATGGCAACTGATAAAACTCAAGGGTGGAGCGGTGACTCGTTCGATCGATACAGGGAGTACAGGTATAATTCTTATTAAGAAACTTGTAATTACAGATTATCATTTTATCTAATAATTACCCGAATTTGAAATCAGTTCATACAAATGCAACATCATTTTTTTTACGTTTCATACAACTCTAGTAACTTTTTGTTATAATGCATTAAAACGTTAAAAAGTTGAATAGAAAATTTCAAAACCTAATTTAAATATATATATTTAACAGTTAAAAACATTTTTTTTTCTCATGTAAGAGTTCAATTTCAAATCCATTGAATGCCAACGTGACATCTTACTATTGTAGAGTTTAATCCAATGAATGACTTGTTCAACTCTCCCACTTACAATTTTGAATGCTCTAAGGATCGGTCACAATTGGAACAAATAATTTATTTTTGTGATTATTCACCAAGAAATTGGTTGAAGGCCGGTATGTAGACGGGTCTAAATTTAATAAATACGTGCTTACTTAAATTTGTAATTTTTAGGGTATCATCAAATTCAATTTGAAAATTTGACCTTTTGTCTTTGTTAAGGTACTTTTATATTTATACACATGAATATTAGGAGTTTAGGACATAACATGTTGCACCGCCTTTAACGTGTAGGGAATGATACTGATGTCAACAAGAATTTTTTTTAGCTATATGTTGTTTGTAGTCCCGCTTCAAAACATGAGACATAGTTTCACCTTTGGATAATTTTCTATGTGCAACATACATAAATAAACTCTTTATCCTCATCATCATAGTCGTAAAATGTTGTTTGGGTATCCAAAAAGGTAGGGAAGTGGTCTGCTTTGTCTTGGCCTTATCTGTATCGGTCCATAGGGAAAACACCACACTACATGCATCAAGATGAAATGGGTATGCGGTTGCTCCTGCTGTTGCGATTGTTAAACAAAATCATGAATGGGTTTGTGAGTATAATGATCGATGAGATAGGGTCACCTGTAATACGGGCCACGTTTAGGGTTCTTAAGTTTGAAGATAGGGAATATATCACGATGTTAACGAGCACGAGCACCGGTGGCAGTTGACGACATTAGTGGCGTACTTAGTGGTTAAATGGTTAGCCGGAAAGTTGAGACTGAAGTTATTTTGTGCTGGTGTGTGTTTTTGGGTTGCCTGGTTTCCATTTCAGAAAACATGGGTGCGAAAGTGGGGGTAGATACGGTGGCGGACCATCTTTTATTTCTTTTAAATTTAAACTATAAAATGAATTATAAAATAATAAAGAAGGGCTAAATAGTATTTATACATATTGCAAGGACCAAAAACTCAATGAAAACATATAATGGGGATTGTTCAGTTCCAGTTAAAAAAACAAGTTAGGAACTAAATGCATTAATTATTTCAAACATAGTGAACACCCTTCATGTAATTTACATTTAACTTTTATTGAAAGAGTTTGTATGAGATAGCGTTGAGATGTTCTTGTTTTGTTGATTTTGTACTTAGAGAGAACTTTAAGAATGGTCCTTATGGTTTGCTTTTTGTGGATAACAAAAAAATTTAACTTGTAAAACTAGCCTATTTTGTAAAGGTTTGGTTGTGGATTTGATTCCTAAACCTAACACGACTAACTAGAATTGGTTAAGTTCTTGACAAATCATCAGTCTATCCTTATTTTTGTATTTTTTTTGTTGTCTTTTGTTATTTCTAATATATTTTTTCTAGATTAAAATACACAACTTCGTGTTCACTTCACTAGTGAACATCATACTACCGCCATCTGCTTTTTCTCTACCTCATTGCACCCACACAAAAGAAGAAAACCATGAAAGTAACCAAAACTTGTCTCATTTTCTACACGTAATATATATATATATATATATATATATATATATATATATATATATATATATATATATATATCACATCTATTATTATTTATTATCAAAATTCGTAGGGGTAAAGGTTCTTTTTCAATGGTGCTTTCTTAAACTACAAAAAACCCAAATACAACGCTAAAATAAATTTAGTTTGAGAAAACCACGCATGACGTATAGCATATGTTTGCAACAATTATAAACGGGGGTAGATGGTCGGAGAAATTATTTAAAGCGGGAGGTGATCGAAATCCCAGACCAACGGAGGTAATGAGAATAGTATTTCCCTGCCACTTGCCACTTGTATCTGCTCTCACCACAACACCCCAAACTAAAAAGCACTTCGATGTCCTACTTCACCTCTTTGTCCCAATCTCTGTTTTTCTCTCTAGCTGCCTCCACCTACGATACACAATGAAACCTTCAAATAATTTATCGTTTAATGTTGAAATTTTTTTGTACCTTTTGGTAAAGAAAATACAAACATTAAAGACTATTTTTATATTTTTTTTCTCTTGTAATAATAATATAATAAGCAGTTTGACTGTTTGGTAAATTTTTATTTTGTGAAATGAGCTTTTGCTATTTAGTAATCATTTTTATGTGTTAATGATTTGCAATTGATTATATGAGGTTATTATTTGATCCATAAATAATTAGAATTTTTTGTTTGTCTAAATATTTAAAATTGTATATATCTCCATTGTTACATAACTGGTTTAATATATATATATATATATATATATATATATATATATATATATATATATATATATATATATATATATATAAATATTTCATAATTAATGTAAATGGTGTCTTCTTATTTTGATAAGGCTGTGTGTGCATATGGTAGAATATGATTGGTTGAAGGAAAAGAAAAGAATAAAAGGGGAAGCATTGTTTGTGTGGGCTTTATAAGTCAGGGAAAGCTTACTCTCAAAGTAAATGTTGGAACACTTTTTACTATGTATATGTGTAGTGGGATCTAATGATTTTATGAATTATATTATTATAAAGTTATAAGAAATAATTTTATATTATTAATTTAAATTGTTTTTTATTTTATTAAAGAAAAAAGTCATCAAACTGTCGACTCAGGTCGTCCCAAAGAATATAATTTGAAATGAAAAATTATTTATATGCAAATGATTAAATTATTTTTTATATTTGGTCCCAAACCCACACAAAGGTTTTTCTCCTTTTTCCCTCTCTCTCCACCACCTCTGGGCCCTTTTAAACTTGGAACTTCCTTTCATTTCTCTTCCCACCACCGCGGCAAATCGCCATGGACAACCACAAAGATGACAAACGCCACCACCGCACCACCACAAACAACAAATCAACCTCCGACACCGAAGAGTACTACTCTCCTGGTACTTCACCTCTTCAGCCCGACGAATTATCCTATGCCCCTTCTAAAGCCATCGTCGCTGTCGACAAGTACTATACTTCCTCAAGATCTCCTACTTCGCACCATCAAAAGCTTCCTCAGACCTTAAATCTACAACCGCCGGAAAAATCTCAGTCGCCTACTGTAGCCTATAACCGATCGGCGAGGGAGGAGTCGGTGACTGGCGTCACGAAGGTAGGCCCCGGCGGTCTTGAAGAGGGAAACGATGGTGCAGGAGGAGAGAGAAGGTCTAGGGTAGCGACGCCGGGATTGAGGAGGTCGAAAAGAGAAGTGATGGTTGACAGATCAGCGTTAGGGTTTAGGGTATTGGAGTTGATATTATGCCTGATTGCGTTCTCTGTTATGGCAGCTGATAAAACTCAAGGGTGGAGTGGTGATTCCTTCGATCGATACAGGGAGTACAGGTAAAATGAAGAAACTTGGTAATTACCCGAATTTGAAATCAATTGGAACAATTATTTATTTATTTATATGATCATTTACCAAGAAATTGGTCTTATGGCTAGTTTAAAGAGTGAACTAAAAATAACTCTCTGCTTACTTAAATGTGTAATTTTTAGGGTTTCATGCTAAAACTAAGTGGTTTAAATTTGAAAATTTGACCTTTTGTTTTCACTAGGTCGAACAATTCTGCTCTAAAGTAGAAGGGATTTATTCTTTTCTTTTTCCCAAACGAATAAAGTGAGCAATAATTTTGCAAGTATACCTAAGGAATGCATCCTTAGTGGATGTTCTCCAAGAAAGGAGAATAATGGGTTTTTGGGTATGTTCTCAAAGGGATTCTTGCAATGTTCAAGAATCATAATCAGATAATTAGTTGTAACAAACTCTAAAAGTTATGGCTATTACTATATTAAGGTAATCTTACATTTAGGGATTGAGACCGATATAAATGAGACAAATTGCAATATATGAAGCCCTAGAAAGTTATATGGGCAAAGATTCATTTATGAATAATTGTCAATGCAAAAGACGTGAATGCCTCATCATTGAAATTAGCCCTAGAAAGTTATATGGGCATCCATTTTTACAATCAACATGTTTAAAGTCTTTTATAATTGTGAATATTCGATTATATTATACATTCCATTATTTGCTTGTGTAGGTATGTGGTAGGTGTGAATGCTATTGCATTTGCATACGCAGCATTTCAAGCAATTGACATGACATACCTCTTAATTAATGGAAACCATATCATCTCATACTCTCTTCGCCCTCACTTTGACTTCCTAATTGACCAGGCAAGCACCTCAACCACATCATGTATTTTATGTTGTACTTATGGTCCCACATGACACGACATAACAGAACAGAACAAAACAGGTTGTCTTGTCATGTGATGTGATATGAGTCTTGTAGCTCAATTGTTTTTGTATTAACAAAGAAACATAATTGATATGATTGTAGATACTTGCTTATCTGTTGATATCAGCATCATCTTCAGCAGCCACTAGAGTGGATGATTGGGTGTCAAATTGGGGAAAAGATGAGTTCACACAAATGGCAACTGCATCAATAGGAATATCTTTTTTGGCTTTTCTTGCATTTGCACTTTCCTCTCTCATATCTGGTTATAATCTTTGTACCCAGGGCTCTCTTTGATCTTTAATTTCTCTAAACATATTTATCATCATCTGTGTTTTTACACGAGAATTAAATTGTAAACAGGTTGTATAGGCAGGCAATGTGATAAATTATAAAAGAGTAGTTTTCTTTTTCACCTTTGATGTTGTAAAAATGGTTATCTTAATGAAATAATACAACCGTTCAGCTGATTTTCTAGACACTCTGATTGTATATACTAGGGATAAACGCCAAAAACAGGAACGGACTTTAAATTTATTTGTGTATTATATCATCCTACTTTTATTTCTTTTTATTATAGAAGGTCATCATTAAACATCAAATATATTTTTCTTCAATAAAACAACTATGTTTTAATTTGTTTTTGGAAAAACCATTGTAATTTAAAAAGCATATTATTATGTTTATCACTATTATCATTAATGTTACTTGATTGTTGTTATCAATCTTCTATTTTTAGTTTTGTTGTTTATTGATTTATTAAAATGGTTTGATTTTTCATTTATTTTTTTATTTTTTATTTTTTTAATTTTTTATTTCGAATGATCTGGTTCTTTGGTTATGTTTTATTTAATTTTTTTTTATGGTTATATATATATATATATATATATATATAAAGGTTGTAAAAATCGTTCGGCGGTAACTCGACGGTCAACTAACGATAAACGATTAATCAGACTTGGTGGGTAATGACAATTATACCCTCATTCAAATTCAAATTTACAATGTATTTTAATTTTTTTTGATCGTGAATATTTGTTAGCAAATTATACCAAAAAACATTCCAATACTAAAATACCCCTTGTTTTTTTTTTCCTTAAACCATCATATTCATGCTTTTTCACATTTCACCCCTCATTTAAATACTTTTTTTTTTTCTTCTTTAGTCATTTTACACTATCTGCCTTTATTTTTAAAGAGTTTATAGACATATTATGATAAAACTATTATACAATCAACTACTTAATAAGTAAAAAACATATCTTCAAACTAATGCATATCAAATCATAATAAATGTTGTTCAACAAAAATATTCAAACTAATGTATATTAAATATTCAAACTATTTATAGGACATCATCATTTGAAAATGTTAGATATGCATTTAGATCAAGTAAGTTGTTCTCTAACTAAATATTATGAGACACTTCATTGTTTATTTAAAAACACACGGGTAGATTTTGAAGGTTTGTGTTTGTGAAGATTTCACAAGCTCAAATTCAAAGGGTCTCGCGCAATAGAATTTAATCATCTTTTCATTTTTGCTTTTGGAGGTCTACCATTTGCTCGATAAATCATGGTCCAAAGAATGTGTTGAATTTAATCTAACGTTTACTAATCATAGAAGTATAAGTGAGAAAGTAATAATAAAGTTTAGGAACTGCTAGATTACATGTGTTGACTTATTATTTTGCATGTGTTCGGCCATATTTATTAGACACTAACTATATAGTGGCGAACGCAAAAAATCTTGTTGTAGTTACACTACTGGTTGCACATTTTTTTTTTCAGTGGATGAATCTTAATTGAATTTTTTTACATTACGATGTAAATTCGAGTGGAGGTCCGAGATGCCTGGGAGACACCTAAATCCGTCTCAACTATACAAATTATAAATTTTAGCCACTTTATGTTATTTTGTGTGTTTTGTTTAGCCACTCTTTTGTTATCATTAACTTGTTTTAAGTCGATTAATATAAACCGAAAATGATTAAATCGAACGTTATTTGGTTCGTTTTCAGTTAATATTTTGGAAGTCAAAAAATCAGCTAAACCAAATCACACAACTAATAATCGATTAAACCAGCTGAATAACATCTCTAATCATAATCAAAGAATTAATATATTTATTTTGATATTCCAAATAAATAAAAACGTATCCGTCAATATTCATAAAAATCATAACCTCTTAAAAAAAAGGCCGGCGATGTAAAAAGTGATTAAAAAAGTATTAGATGAGGGGTGAAATGTCAAATAAATAAATAAATAAATAAATAAGATATTTTGGTTAATAAGGAGCAGGGAGGAAAAAAAAGAGGTATAAAGTATAAATCATCCATAAAATATTTTTTTGGTAATAAATGTCTTACGAATAATTAGAATCCAAAAAAATAAATATTTTAAGTTTAAATGAGGGTATAATTGTCATATATTTATAATTAGATGTAAGATTCATTTATTACATGAGTTAATTAAAAAAATTAAATGTAAATGTTTAAATATTTAAGAACTTTGTATTTATAAGAAAATAAGAAAAATAATGAATTACTAAAATTGATTTTTTTATGTTTTAAATTTAAATAAATAAACAAAATAAACTAATAAGTTTTAATTTGGTTATTTTGAAATAAAAAGATAAGTCTATTAATGAAATTGGTATTAATTTATTAATATATTTATAGTAGTTATTACATTAAAGTATTATGTATAATTTATTAAAATAAAAAACTCATAAAATGATATGTGCAAAAAAAATTAATTTAGAATAATCACAAAATGATATTTGACAAATTGAATGATGGTGTGATATGTGACAAAAAAAATTTCATTTATTAGAGTAGATTTCAGTGGATTTATCAAAATGATATGTGGAAGAATCAATTCCCTATTTAAATAATATAAATTTAGTATTAGTCTGCTGAGAGGGGTTTAGTTGTTTTATGAAGCAATTAGTGTGTGGTTGACAAAAAATACACAATATTAAAAATAAATTAAATCAAACTAGTTTAGAAATCGGAGCAATATATTGTTTTTAAAACGAGAACAAGAATCGACAAGTTCGAGAAAATTGAAAAATCAAATCATCTTGAAAAAAAAAATGTAACTGAAGAAAGAAAACGAAAATCCCAAAAAAATATAATTGTTCTAAAAAACCGAAAGAATATTACTGAAAAATCGAATGTTTTATAAAATTGAAAATAAAGATTGAAACTAGAAAAAAAAAAAGATATTTAACCATAATAAATAGTAAATAATAAAAAAACATTGACGTGTGTCATTTTTAGCAAAATTGTCAAATATATAGAAGACTTAGACATGATTGTTAGGCAGAAAATTGTTTTTAATAGTTTTCGGGCACCTCATGCTTAGGATTTTCTACTAACTATCCATATTCATGGCTTCGGCCAACATATGTCTATTGTAAAATACAAAACTATTATTCGTTACCACCTCATGATTCATCTATTCCCGATTGATCAGATATGTCTAGTTTGCCGCAAGGCATGTTTGGATATATTTAGAGAACACGCGGTTCATTGTAGAGGTTGACACATACCATATTTTTACACTGCCACAACACTTTTAACCACACCAAATAAAATTGATATGTGTCATACCATATTTACCATACATATTTTTTTAATTTAATAAAATGTAATTTAATAAAAAGGAAAACACTTCGTTAATTAAATTAAAACAACTACATTCCCAAAAAACCATAAATAAATAAATAAAACTACATAAAAACAAAATTAATTAAATAAAAACATTACTTGTAATATTTTTTCATAATGTCCGTTCTAACCTTCAAAACATATCAAGCTCGTTTCCTGTGATATAATCGAAATGTTCTGTTAAAAATTCCATATCTCAACTTCTTTGCTTATCCTCTCTTGATCTCTTTTTTTCCTTCTCTTTTTCAAAACTCAAATGACTCTCAAAATTCAAATTACAAATTTCCAAATTATTAGCAACTCTACGTACTTCATCTCCTCCTCCCGTTCCTGATGTATTCGACGACGATCCTCTCTATTTCGTCCTATCTCGAACCATCGATCGAGCTACATCTTCAAGCTCGAGCTCATCCATTTCGCTCAAATCAACCCCAAAATGCACATCCGATGAACTAGTGTAACTCGTCTTGGAAACTTTGGTTCTTTTCTCACGACCTTCTTCTCTTCCATACTTTTTTATCCATTTCAGAGACTTAGATAAAAACCTCCAAACATCGATAAATTCAAAAGACTTCTTATTTTTATCAACAAGAAAATTTGAAGGGTTGTCTCCAAAATTTGTTCACCATCTTTTGCATTTTTCCATTGAGTTATCAAATTGTTGTAAATGTCGTTAAATTTAGTGACATATTTGTTCATCTCGCGAAACCTGTTAGTACATTGATCTTTAGTGTGGTACTCGCCATGATCCATCACTATAAGAAATAGCTCCCGTTTGCGTCGCCAAAATTTTTCATATTTTTACGGTTTACCTTTTCTAGAATCCTCTGAAATATCGACCCATGGTTATGCCAAAACCATCTCTTCGTCCGGTTGCATTGTTGATGTAACACTGCAGATTCGGGCTAATCAATTTAGAGATAATAAACGTTAAAAATCACTTTTTGATAGAATATCATTTAGGGTAAATAATCTTAACCAAGTTGTATTATATGTGACAAGGATTTGGTACATGAACGTTCAAATCCGACTTCGTATGAAGAAATTATGCTTCTTCGAAGTTTTGCGATTAAATCAATGTTGCAATGCGGGCACATAAGTCAAAATTCTAATCGGTTGATTGTTATCCTAAACAATCTAAACGAGATTTGAAGATCTCCTTAATAGGAGTTCGTAGATATAAAGATTATCAAGAATGGAGTCCGTATATAGGAGTTATGCTTTCTATAGCGATTTCTAACAATATAAGCCTATCAAGAATATAAAATTTTGATATAGTGAGAATTAGTTGTTGGGGTCTAAATGAAAGTTGTAGATCACGTTGAGGGCTTTTCGGGGATATAAATAATGTCAAAAACAGAGTTTGTATAAAGAAGTTATGCCATTTTGAAAATCTGGAAAACCACAAGCGCGAAGTGCGCTACACACGTTGATGACGTGGCACCACGTGGCATGGCCGTGAGCCGCCTTCCTCCGTAAGACATGTCAATGTGGCTCCATAAGATTTTGATACATGGCACCATGTGAATGTGACACATGACACCTTCCAGAATAGGCGTAGGTAGACCACCGATATCGTGACATGTGGCATGAGCTGGGAGGAGCGACGTCACAGAAGCGCACGACGAACACTTGGAACAATAACCTATAAATAGTCCTTGACGTATAAGCTCCTCACCTCTTACCCCTAGAGTCTCTCTCTCGACGGTTCTTCATTTTTAG